TTAACAGCCACGACCTCTTCATACCTGCTTCCTTACCCAGAAAACGGGGATCAAAATGAGTCCAACCACTGTGAGAGTCCAGTAGATGCTGCAGACAAAACCCCAGGACAGAGGACCTGAGGTCTCAAGGGATCCACTGCCTGGCTTACAGAGCTCAGGGAATGAGGCAGCTTCCTGCTGAAGGAGAGCAAGGGGGCTCCCTGAAAGATCCAGAACTTTCCATGAAAATGGAGCTGAGGTTACCACCTTGTACCTTGCCTCAGCTAAGTTTCTGCTGTGGACCACCTGAGAGCAAGCCCTTCCCATTTCTGGCCATCAGGACAAAGCCAGGGAGGACCCATTTAGGAAGCAGCGAGACCCACCTCCTGCAGTACCCAATTCTTACCACTTGGAGGCAGCAGGGAGTGGAACTGGAGCTCGGCCTCCTTCCAGCTGCAGAGGAGGCTGCGGGCCAGTCCCTCTCCCAGTGCTGATGGGGTCTCCAACTCCCGTCTGCCTCCAGCCAGCTTTTCAGAGAACCAGAGCTGGAAGACCATCACATCCAGATGTTTGATGTTCCCCACAACCCCGAGAAGCAGCCAGTGTTCTCCCCACTTTTCAGATGGGGAAACTGACGAGCCAGACCAGAGAAAGGAGGACTTGCACAAAGACCTACAACCAAATGCGCTGGACCCAGCTCCTCAACCCTCTTTCTTAGCTGCCATTCCTACCGGAGAGGCCATGTGAAAGGAGAGCTGCAGCCAGACTGACCTGGCTGGAAACCTCCGCCTCACATCCAGCTGTGTTGCTGGACCACTCGACGACCATCTCTGGCCCTTTGCTTACGTCAGTGCCTGGAACAGGGCAAGAAGTGTGCATGAGGCTCCTGGTAGATGCCGTGCTCCACAAGAGTGAGGCGTGTCCATCTCACTCACCTGGCACCTGCCATCAGGGTCTTCCTCCCTGATTCCCCTCCACAATTCTGGACCAACCCTTTCATCTCTCTCCTCCCCAGGAAGCCCTCCCTCTGCCCACGCCCACCCACTTAGGCTCTGAGGGAGAGCTAAGGAAGCCCTTCTCCCCAGCGCCCCATCTCTCTCCTCCCCGATGCCCACCCTTCTCTCCCAGCCTCCTCTCCGTAGCCCTGCCTCTCCCTCGTCCCTGTCTCCTGCTGAGTCTCCGCTTACTGTGTTTACAAGACAGCGATGACAGTTTTTTATTTCTCTCTTTTGTCTCCCTTCCTCCCCTGAAGGGAAACGTGCTTCCAATCTCCCAGGAAGAAATGAAGGCTCTAGACGAGAGGACACAAACAAAGGACATTGGGACCATGATGACACCCCACTCCCACACGAGTCCCAAATACAAACAAATGTTCATGTGCATGCCTGCATGCACACGCACGCGAACATGTGCACGCGAGCGCGTGCGCGCACACACACACACACACACAGGCACACACACAGGCACACACATAATCCCCTCTCTGGCTGGAGCCTCCAAGAGCAGCTGTGTTATTTCGGGGGTAATTGAAAATGTCGATCTTTATTCTAGAATATAAACAGGGCAGAGGGACACAGGAATCAAGGAGGCGAGTAGTGGTGGGGACCAGAGGAAGGGTGACCCAGTGGGGGAAAGAGCTAGACCAGATGGGAGGCTGCAGACACAGAGGGTGGAGGGGAACAGCAGGAAGTCCTCTTTCCACGATGGGCAGCTGGGACATGCACCTTCCCACCCTTAGGACTCAGGGAGACATTCTCCAATCAGCTTTCACCCTGCCCCTTGAGGCATGAGGACAGAAGGGCTGCCTCCCTGGGTGCTCCTTCTGAGTCCTGGAGACTGGCAGAGACCACCCCAACTCGTCCTGATGGATGTGACTCCCTTGACCCAGAGCACCCCAATTTCTTCATGAGCACAGAGCACTCTCCTCCCACTCCAGCCCCCATCTCTGTGTGCATGCGTGCGTGCGTGTGTGTGTGTGTGTGTGTGTATGTGTGTGTGTGTGTGTGTACACGTGTGCGTGTGCGTGCGCGCATGAGTGTATGCACATGCCCTGCTACCCCTATAGCCTATATCCTTTGCTTCTGGGGAGTTGGGGTGCAGCTATGAACCAGGCTCAGGTGTGTGAGATGAGGAGGTGCCTGGAGTACCTGGAGTGTCACAAGGTGTGGGTAGCATCTGCTGTGGAGTCTAGGGAAGGTTCCTGCTTTCTTCCTGGGAGGACAGTGCAAGGTGTGTGTTTGGGGGTAGCTGGCATAAGATAGAGGGTAAAGGGTGGGTTTTCCGTTTCTCTGGGAGATACCTTGGCTTAGTGGACCTGTAACTAAGGGACATATGTCTGTGAATGACTCACTGTGACCCTCTTTCCTCATTCTCTCCATCCTTCAGTAACCCAAATCCGTTCCAAAATTCCCTTCTAGCTCTCATATCCAACCCTACTCATATCTGGTGAGCTAGGGGCCAGGCTGATCTGTCTAGTGAAGAAAAAGTGGACTTGGTCCCAGGATGAGTAAAACCTCCAATCCCACACTGAATCCTAATCCTGGTCACACACCAAAACCAATTTGGAGACAGGCCACACATTCGTTGTGTAGTCAGGGTTGTTTCTATGCCCCGAGACTCAGTTTCATCTTTCCAACAGTGGTCTTGGCCCAGGCTAGGCACTCCATCCAAAAAGGCCTGTTCAGAGACTGGTGTGAGGCTCACCTGACCTGATGCCACAGGGGAGCTCAGCGGCTGCCACCTGCCACCCCCATCCCCATCCAACACTTTCAGCCCAAGCATCACTAATTTTTGCAGCTGCTGTGATAAATGGCATTGTCGGCAAAATGACATCTTTCTAATCTGCTGCAAGACAGATGGGTCCCCGAGCAGGCTCGCTCTCTCTCTCTCTTTCTCTCTCTCTCTCTCTCTCTCTCTCTCTCTCTCTCTCTCTCTCTCTCTCTTTGGAGAGCCTGCCCAGGCCAGCCTTGCCAAGGTATGGGGAGGATGGGACTGACATGGACTCGGGGTCTGGGAGAAAGACACTTCAAGGCTCTGAGCCAAGTATGAACGCAGGTGGTTGCTACAAGCCTCTTCCCTAAACATTGCTGGGTCTCTTTTAATATTACTACAGTGATCTCCGTTCTTTACCATCCATACTTAGATATATTCAATTCAGTTTTCATTTCAGCCAAAATCTCAAATGTTAGCCCAGGTGTAGTGGCTCACACCTGAAATTCCAACCCTCAAAACTAGAGCAGAAAGTTCACAAGGTCAAGGCCAGACTGGGCTGCACAGCAAGACCCTGTCTTTTAAAAGGAAACAGAATCCTGAAGTGGTGGGGCGGGGGTGGGGGGTGGGGGCTCCCTCAGTAAACTACCTGGCACACAAGCACCACAAGGACTTGAGTTTGATCCCCAGCTCCTGGTAAAAAATATTGGATGCGGCAGCCCACCTGTAATCCCAGCCCTGAGGTGGAAACAAGAGGATTTGGGGGGATTCTCTAGCCAGCCAGTCCAGCCAAATTGAGGAGCTTCCAGTTCAATGAAATAAAACAAAACAACAACAACAACAAAAAAAAAAACCCCACTGGTCTCAAATATTAAAGTGAAGAGGAATTGAGGCAGACTCCTAATGTTAACTCTGGCCAAAGGATGCACACATGTGTACCCACACACACATGGGTGTGCATACACATGAACACCTAACACACACACAAAACAGTTTTTAAAAAATCCTGAATACTTCTTGGTCTTACAAGGGTGAATCATTTGGGAAGCCTGGTGGTGCAGGCCTAGAACCCCAGTTACTCTGAAGGCTGGTGGAGGGCGATCCTGAGTTCAAGGCCCGCCTGGGATGCAACGTAAGTTTAAAACCAGCTTGTTTAAATATAAGGGAGGGAGTTGGGTGTGGTGGCATGCATCTTTAATCTTAGCCCTTGAGAAGCAGAGGTAGGCAGATATCTGTGCATTCAAGGCCAGATATCTGCTCTACATTGAGAGTTCCAGTACAGCCAGGATCACAAAGAGAGACTCTGTCTCAATAAAATAAAATAGAGGGACAAGCCATCAGACACTAATTCTGGTTCTGAATGTCCCCCTCTGGATGAGCCAGTGGGGTCTTGAAGGGTAGGAATCAAGAGTCAAGGAATGTCAGATTCCTGCTTGGAAGGCCCCAGCCCACAGGTACCATCCAAAAGCAGGTGGAGCCAGGCCTAGCCCTGAGGACTGAGGCAATGCTGCCCTCCCCTGGTCACACTGATGTCCTTCGCCAGGCTGAGCTGCTGAGATTGGGAATATAGCAAATGACTCTCCAAAGATAGCATGTGACACTCAGACCCCTCCCAGTAGGCCGCAGGCTGACCACAACCTCCAGCACTTCCCATGCTGGCTGCCTTTCTCTAACTGCCCAAAGTCTTCCGGAAGTACAGTCTTCACTGAGTGTAGTGTTGTGTGCTAATCCCACACTTGGAAGGCTGAGGACTGCTTGGGCTACAAAACAAACAAGCAAAACCACTGTGTCCTATCTAGCTAAAGCCCTCGGGGTTCAGCTGGAACTCCTGGCTAGACCTTCCATGCAGCAGCACCCTTTGGTCTCCCTGCATGCTGTCACTGCCTCTACCTGCCCCCAAGTCTCCACATATCCATCTGGGTCCTTCTCCAGGAGCCTGTCTTTCCCGATCCCAAACCAAGATGACCCCTCCCATTTCTGCCCACGTCCCCGCTCCTATCTTGAGGAATGACCCTGGCAGGGACCAAAGATACAGCCCTAGAACTGGGGAGAATTTAAACTTCATCCAGGGCGATCCCTGGCACTATGGGAAAGGGACCGTGAGGCCCAGAGAAGCGCAGGGAAAGGCCGCACAGCCTGTCAGTGGCCACTCTAAGGTGGGCCTGCCCAGGCTCCCTGGAAGTCACACAGCTGCTTCCCCTAGTGGCCAGCATCGAACCCCATGTATACAGGATACAGTACCAAGGATCCCTAGCCCCTCACCCAGAGCAGGGTCCAGAGGAAGCCGCTGAAAATGTTTACAAAACAAAGGAATGAATAAACAAAAATATTTATCTAATGCCTCTGTGTGCTGGCTCCTCACCAGGCACCAGCTCTGCTAAAGGAATTCATATGAGATCAGGTTGCTCAATGTGGTATAGAAAAAAAAAATAGCATCTGTGAGGAGGGAGGGGCACGTACTAACACTGGCCTCAGTCAATAATGTCCACAATCAATGGGCACAAGTAGGGCGAGTGTTTGGTGCCCATGGTGAAGGCAGGTATACGGGGCTTGTGCACAGTGACCGGCTGGACATTGTGGGAGCCAGGGCCAGGCCGAAGTGTGTGGTCCAACGGATAGGCAAAGCGCTTGGCCGTGCTAAACACAGGGCTGCGGTTCTGGTAGACGGACGGCTCAGGTCGGGCATGCGCAGCAGGTCCGGGACCTCCCGCTATATTCTCTTTGTAGAACCAATTCTTGCTTGAGGAGCCCAGACTATAGCAGGGGGCGGCTCGGAAGACAGGGATGTTGGGTCCCAGTGAGAGTGGCAGCTGGTACTGGTTGGAGGCCGGGTTGGGATCCATCACTCTGCATGGGCACCGGTAGCCAATCGAGAACTGGGGAGCCGTCCGTTCCCCGGGGGGCCGAGTCTTCTCAAGGTTGTAGTGGCAGGGGGCTGGAGTGGTACTTAGGCCTGAAGGGGAGGGAGATGGGGAGAGAACCTCACAGGCCCCGATACCAGCTGCTGCATCGTCGCAGGGGGAGCTGAGTTCTTGCCCAGCCCTGGGGGCTTAAAAAAAAAACCAAACAGTGCAGCAGCAGGGTGTGGACATTAGGGCGACACGGCACTGTGGGCAGGGAAAGACAGTCACCACCATGGTGGCTTTGTTGTCCTAAAACAAAAGCCATCACTGACGTTGTGGCAGTGACTCCTTGGCAGTCAACTTGATGGCATTGCCCCGTGTCCCACGACAGCACCAGGAAATTTTCTTTAGGTCATTAGTCTGTGAGCTCATTAGCACGACAATATTGCCACTTTGACGTGAGCCCTGTGACATCATAACACAATGTATATCATGACGTTGGCTTCTATGCATAAAAACAGCGACACATGGGTGGGGATGGCAGCATCATGATATCTGTCTTTTTTTTTTTTTTTTTTTTTCTATAACCCTGGCTGGCCTGGAACAGGCTGTGCAGACCAGGCTGTCCTCTGCTTTCCAAGTGCTGAGATTATTCCTGTGTGCCACCACACTTAGCTAACATTGGTGTCTGGATGTGACAATGAGCAGATGCCAGCATTCTCAGACATGCCCCTGTTGTGCCCCTTCCCAGGTTCTAAGGATGGATGCCTCCCACACCCCATCCTCCCAACGGCCCATCTTCCCGGTCCATCTTACGAGGATTGGAGATGCGCTCCTCCATGGGGACCTGGGGGCAGGTAGATATTCCAAAACGAGTCGCTTTGGGATCCAAGAAATAGCAAGGCCCGGGGCTGTATGTGTCTATGATCCCTGCAGGGGACAAAGAGGGGCCACAGCTGCCACCCCACCAAGGACTCTCTTCAGATTCCTCTGGGGAGGTCTGTGTACTTTGATTTCCTCATCTGTAAAATGGGTCCTTCTGTGCATGACCGCCAGAGACTGCTGGAAGGACCAGATAAGAACAGGCAGGCCACAGTGTGGTTAGTCTCCTACCACAGACACTTCCGGGTTGGTGCCAAGGGTAATGACAACCACTGTAGCTACCATGAATATTGAGAAAGGGCTCAGTCCCAGCCAAGAAACCTCTGCCAAGGAGATGTGACTGTGTGTGTGGGGGGGGGGGGAGGCAGGCATCTAAGCCTCAGGCCCCCAAACACATGACCATATCCCCACTTAACCTCTCATCTCACTGGCTTTGGCTTTCCGTCACGGGTCATCTTTGACTACTGCAAGTATCCCCAGCAGAATATGAGACACACAGAGCCAAGGAGCCCCAGGGAAAGAGAGCCCTGCTCTGCTGGTGACAGTTCTAGGCCCCCACAGCTCTCCCCTGGGGAGATCTGCCTGACTGACTGCACAGAGCTACCTTCTTCACATGTGGGGGTCCACTTAGGAAATTTTACTGGCTTCCTCCTGTCTCCATCTTCACCAGCCCAAGCCCCCAGCGGCCTATGGATGCAATCTTAGACAGTCGCCCTGACCCTCCAGGGACAGACCGTGGGGACTGCTCACGTTTCTCAGTGTGCCGTGAGTGTAGGGTATAAGCTGGCTCCTGAAACATGGAGATGTCATGGGCTATGTAGCCGGTACAGGACGGCCGCAGGTACTTGGCGGGCCCTGGACCTGTGAGGACAGACAAGACAGTCTTTAGCCTCGGCCCCCAGTGCGATCGATGTACCATGAGAACACAAGGGGCTTTGCTCTGGCTGATGGCACCCTGCCACAGAGCCGGGCATCGAGCTGGTTCCCTACAAGGAAGGTAGTATGCAGAGCTAAGATGCAATTTCCTGTGGACCCACAGCCTGTTACAGAAAGACACCAGTCACAGTTCATTGAGAACTTGGTCTGCACTAAGACCCATGCTAACCACTTGATATTGTTATTTCAGTTGAGCCTCTAGACAACCTTATTAAGACAGACACTCTTGTCTTTTCCATCTCACAGACAACAATACTGAGGCAAAAAAAAAAAAAAAATCTATCCAGCTACAGTAACTGGTGATGTGAGAATCAACAGAACCCAAACATTTAATCACTGCTCTAAAACACTTCCCAAGTAATGATCAGTCAATAGCAACCTAGTGAGAATTCATTTGCCTGGTCTCTATTGAAAAGAAATAGAAATCACTAAAGGTAGGGCTGGTGAAGTAGCTGAGTGGTAGAGTTCTCACCTATAATGGATGGGTCCCTGGGTTCAATCCCTAGCACCTTGAAAAGTGGAAAACCAAGCTAAATGCTCTAATCTTTTCCCCAAAACATGCTGTACGCCCCCACACTCCAACTCTCTTCCCGGTCTCACAGAGCCAGTGAGTGGGCCTAGCTTGGAGGTGCAGGTTGCTTTAAGGACTTGAGGAGTGTTTATGGGGCTTCGCAGGAGGCGGGGCTGGCAAGCTAGGCCCTTGACAGCAACCTAGCCTGGTAGGCCCTAGGGTAGGGCTGCTCTCACCTTTGATTGTGGCCATGACGACAGGGGTCTGCTTTATCTCCTGCCATGAGGGCACCTCTTCCATCTTCTCTGGGTGCTGTGCATAGAACACACAGTTCCTGGCTCCCTTGGGCAGTTTCATGGTGAAGGCTGAGAGGAAACATGAGCAGTTACAAGCTATGCCTGAGAGACCAGGAGACGGTACCCCCGCCCAGACCCCTCTACCCACTACCCACCCCACTTCAGAGACTCCCAAACAGCTGGGGTCTGTGGGGAAGAAGTCTGGGCTCAGCAGCTGAAGCCACAGAGGTGCATCAGCCAGCCACGGCCCAGGGGCTGGAGTGCAGGGTGACATCACACCACGGCAGAACTTGGACTGTGAGGCCCGGAGTGTTTATTTCCCCCGTTGCCGTGGTGCCTGAACAGTGGCACAGCAGCTCTCTGTTGAGAGCGCTGCTACAGGAAAATGCAGCTCCACTGCCCACTCTTACATCCAACCAGGCTGAACGCCCCGGGCACTCCTCAGTAAGAAGGAACTAAGGTCTAAGGAGGGGGTAGTGAGTGACATGGCCCTTGAGCCAGCAACTCACTACCAGTGGGTATCTTATGATTGGGGACAGGAACAGCAAGGGTGAGTAGGTCCTGGGTGAAGGGTTCCTCTCCTCTCCTCTCCTCTCCTCTCCTCTCCTCTCCTCTCCTCTCCTCTCCTCTCCTCTCCTCTGGGACCTACCCCTCCGTCCCTTCCACCTATCTCTCCCAGACTCTGGACAAGTCCTATCTTCCATCAGTCTTCCTGTTTAAGTGAACGTATTTCCCACTAAGGTTGACTGTCTCACAGCCCCTTCCCAGACTCCTTTGCCAGGGCGTGGTATCTTTAAAGAGCCACATCTAGCTAAAGGAATACTTGCCTCATGGTGGCATTTCAGACACAGAGTGAAGGACAAACAGAGAGCTAGAGGGCTCACACTGATGTTCACAGCAGCGGCTTCCCATGGCTATGGCAGAGAGCACCTCTGATGGAGTATGTTGGGAAATACCGAGGCTTGGAGCCGCTATGCAGGCTCCACATGATGAAGGGATGAGCCCCAGGGCTGGGAAAACCCCAGAAACCTCTTCACCCCCAAGAGCTTAGGAGGATACGGGGCTCAGTCTTCAATCCACCAGTGGGATTTGATCTGAGCCAGGTTAAGAAAGGTCTTCATTTCATAGAAACTAAAGGACAAGGAGAGTGGCCTTTCGATAGGGTCTGTCACCACCCCAGTGTAGACACTGAGGCCACAAGAGGGATCAAGTGTAGACAGGCTTTTCTTTGGGTCACCAGCTCACAAAAACCAACAAACAAACAAAAACAAACCAGAGACTTGTTAATTATAAAAGCTTGGCCTATAGCTTAGGCTCGTCCCACTAGCTCTTAGAACTTAAATGAACCCATTTCTATTCATCTATGTGTTGCCATGTGACTCATGGCTTTTACCTCTCCTCCTGCATGTCTTGCTCCCTCTCCCTCTGGCTGGTGGCTCCACCTTTCTTCCTCCCAGAGGTTTCTGTCCCTAGAAATCCTGCCTAACCTCTTCCTGCCTAGCTAATGGCCATTCAGCTCTTTTTTAAATCGATCAGGGTGGCAGACCTTCACACAGCGTAAAAGAATTGTCCACAACAATCAAGGACTAATCCAGAGCCCCTAACTTCATCAGTGGCAGGAATACCAGGACACAAAATTCAGGAATCTCTTCAGGTCACAGTCTCACTGCTCACAGAGTTGCCATTGGGGTGGTGATCTGAACTCGTGGCAGCCACCCAGCACGGTGATCCACCATCAGGCATGCTGGGAAACCAAGATTCCTGGGGACTGAAAGGCTCAGAACAGAGAGCAGACTCCTAGGCAGCAGCAGCAGCCCCTCTTCTGGGGGACCATATCTACCTGCTCACCCCACCCTGTGAGCACTCCAGGCAGCCCCCTCCCCTGCCTGGTGGGATTCCCCAAACGCTTCCCTCCCAGGGGTCTGTTCTATGCCTGTCACATGTCCTTATACATAGCTTTCTTGAGGAAATGGATTCCCCTACCTTCATCTGGCCTGGGCTTTTCTCCTCTGCTCCATGTCCTCACTTACTCCCTACCTCCGATGGCGTCTGGGATCTCCTGAAGCAGGCCTTTGGCCCTCCCCAGTTGCTAGTTCTTCCACTCATGGCCCCCCTCCTTGTATCTTAGAGTCCCCTCTTTGTCACATGGGTTCCAGTGTCCAGAAGTAACTCTCCTCAGCTTCTCAGGGCCACCAGTCCCTCACTTACAACCTGGTGGCCCTGGTTCGTGACTGCCTCTGCCCTTCTCCTAACTCCTGCCATGACCCTGGTAGCTTTGGCCCACAGCGGGCCCACTCCCCAATCAATCAGTGCCTGGTCCTCCTCATGTGTGAGGACCTCTACCAACTTCCTCTCAGGCCGTGTTCCCAACAGTGGTCCTGGGCTTTCCACTGCTGCCTCCCTCTGGACACCAGCCTTCCATTTCCCACTCCCCCGCCCCCCCCACCCAACCCCCCCACCCCGCACCCTCACCCCCCACCCCCGCAGTCTTTATGTGACACCTGACTGCTGAACCTGTACCTCCTCCTCACCCTCAGGCCCTTCCTGCCTTCAGAGCTCTCAACCTTGGATCTGGCAACCTCGATGAGCCTCACCTCTGGGCAGCTTGCTCCCCTGTCCCCAGACATTGTCCCAGCATGTCTTACTCCTCTCTACGTGACTAGGGCTTCATGCAGTTCCTACTCACCTGCACCAAGCAAAAACAGGCTGGAGGCGGGTGGTGGTGGCGCACGCCTTTAATCCCAGCACTCCGAAGGCAGAGCCAGGCAGAGCCAGGCAGATCTCTGTGAGTTCAAGGCCAGCCTGGGCTACCAAGTGAGTTCCAGGAAAGGCACAAAGCTACACAGAGAAACCCTGTCTCAAAAAAAAAAAAAAAACAGGCCGGAAGCCAGACCTACCTACTTCCACTTCCCAGTGGAAGCTGTGGCTGCCCACCTCAGGTTTCCACATGTCATCTGGCACCTCTGGAGCCTCTGACATCCAAGGCCCCTTCCATCTGCTAAAAACTGTGCTTCTGGGGGCTGGACAGGTGGCTCAGTGGTCAAGAGCACTTGCAGTTCTTCCTGAGAACTGGGGTTCCGTTCCCAGAACCCACATCGGGGGGCTCATAACCTCTTGTAACTGCAGTTCCAGGGGATCCAGTACCTTCTTCGGCCCTCTAGGGCTCTGTGTGCATGTGGTACACATACATACACTCAAACGTACACACATACACACAAAATGAATAAATAAATCTTCTAAAAATTGAAAAACAACTCTGCCCTTGAACCCATACCTGTCTGTACCCACCTGTCCCTCTCCACCATTTACAGACACGTTTACTCAAAGGGTGTTTTCTCCTGTGGTGGCCAGTCTTGCCTCCCTTTCCTTCTTGACTCACTGAAAGCTGGCTGGAGGCCTACTGCCCCACCCATGCTAGGCTGGACTAGATGCCCGCAGACCTGCACACAGTGTGCTCTTAGCATCATCTTCTGATTTAGCTTCTTGGCAGCACCGGCCAACATGGCTGACTGCTCCCTACACCCCCAGAACCTCTCCTGGCTCCAGGATGTTCTCCTGGTTTTCCTTCCCTGGTTCCCTTTCCAGGCTCTCTTCTGGCTCTTCTTCCTCACCCTGACCTTTCAGTCTTGGCAAATGCTTATTAATCACAGAATGGAAAAATAGTAAGTTTACTTGGAAGCAGTCTGGCAGGCTCTCCCTCACCCAGGTGATGCACGCGAAGATAGCTCAGTGGATAATAGGCTTGCTGTGCAAGCCTGAAGATCTGAGTTCCGACTCAGAGGATCCACACAAAAGGCTGCGTGGAGCAGTGTATGCCTGTAGTCCCAGCACTGGGGAGGAACGCCTGGCCATCAGCTTACCTAATCAGTGAGTTCCAGGTGCAGAGAGAGACTTTGCCTCAAAAAAGAAGGTGGGGAGCAATGGAGGAAGACACTCAATGGTGGCTGAGCTCTGGCTTCCACACAGGTGTACATACATATACATCACACACAAAAGCTGTTTGTTATTATTATGCTATTATTTTGTGTTGTATGGGTATGTGCATGCCACAGAGAAAAGAGAAGAGATTAAAAAGAAAACTAACTGTCAGTACCTGGTGTTTCCAAGCCCAGACCTGGATCATTGTCTCACTGTATGTCACTCTTCATCTGCCCGAGGCAGTCCCCTCTCCTCCTGTGGCTCCTTCCTTAGTGTCACATCAACAGTTCCCCAACATTCCCTGTTCGCCTGTGTTCTCAGCAGCACTAGGTTCATGCCTGCTCCATACCACTTGGGTTTCACGTGAGGGGCAAAATCAACACGCCCAACTCACTCTGTAGATGAGGATGACCTTTTGATCCTCCTGTCTCTACCTCCCAAGTGCTAAGATGGCAAGTGGGAGCCACCCACCACTATGCCTGGTTTTATTTGGTTCATCTGATCAAACCTAGGACTTTAGACATGCTCAGCAAGCCTTCTACCAACTAAGCTACATCCCTAGCCCCCAAAGAACTTGTGAGATGTTCTTCACCCCAAGTTCATCTCAGTGTATCACCTTACCATCCACCTTAGTGCCTGAGCCTTGGGCTTGTCCCGCACACCCTTCTTGTCTTTACACAAGTCTTTACTGCACAGCCGACCACCAAGTCACTTTGGGGAGCTTATAAGTCCCCAAAAGTCAGGCTTCTATATATTAGGCACCCCTCTGTCCCCAGTGTGCGCCCCCAACATAGTGCCTGGTGCAGAGAGGTGATGAATCTGTTGATAAAGTGCCTGCCACACATCATGAGTGCCTGAGTGCAGATCCCCGGCACTCCTCTAGAACTCTAGAGCTAAGGAGCAGGGGGGCCTGAGAGCAGAGAGGGGCAGATCCTTGGACCGCTTGGGCCGGTCAGTCAATGAGCTCCGGGTTCGGGGACAAGGCCCTGAGTTAAAAGCTAAGGTGGAGGACTGGAGAGATGGCTCAGCAGGTAAACTCTTCCAAAGGACCTGAGTTGTGTGGGCAGCACCCACGTCATGGGCTCACAACTGCCTGTAACTCCAGCTGCAGCAGATCTGACATCCTCTCCTGGCCTCTACCAACACCTGCACACAAGTGGCATACATGCACACAGACACACATTAATAATAATAATAATAATAATAATAACAATAATAATAATAATAAAAACCTAACTAGACAGCCCAGTGGGTAAAGGCACTTGCCACCAAGACTAAAGACCTAAATTTGAACCCTGGGACCCAAGTGGTAGGAGAGAATTCCCGAGAGTAGTCCTCTGTCCTCCACATGTGTGTTCTAGCATGTATTCATGCACACACACAAATTAAAAATAAGATGTACAGCAATTAAGGAAGACACCTGATGCTGAGCTCTGGCCTCAGCAGACGTGTGCACAAATGTACATATACACACACACACACACACACACACACACACACACACACACACACACACATACACACACACACATTCCCACATATGCACTCACATGGACACATGAATACACAACATATATATACACACTGAAAGAAAAATATTTTTGAGGGGCTGAAGGT